GGTCTTTGGCTTACCGTGAAAGATTCTCTTACGTAAAATTTGAATTTTGTCTATCACCTCTAATTTGGGTAGGCATACTTGGCTTATTTCTACATGGTTTCTAAAAATTAAGCGATTGTTCATCTTGCCATACTCCAAACTTCTAAAGACTGACTTTGCGCGGATATTACTGGAAACCTCATTTCAAATTGTGACTGAAATATTCGTAAACTATTCAAAATCACGTCAAACGATTTAAGCGTTCCACTAATCGAGAAAACTAATTTTTTTCCGGTTTCGGTCAGAATTCTATTTAGTAACAGTATTCTGGTTAATTTATCTGAGAGGAAATTTGCTTGATTAATTCATTGTCCTGTTTTATTTTTCGCATTTTTTTAGGTCGTTCAATCTTTACGGCACTTGTCTCGCTTTAAGATTCTCTCCATGGTTCGTCGAGATCATATATCGGCTTTGTCTCTGCCTCCCGTATTGATCGGCTACCTTCTTGAGAAACAGTGCTACGCTGAATCATTAGATGACTTTGAGAAGGCTGTACGTGACCGGGCTCCTCTTTTGTTTCCTCTCACTTCTGGAAACACTGCTGCTGTCGCATTCGGTCAGACTTCGAACGCGTCTCCTGACACCTTAAGCGTTTCTGTCACTATTAGCACGACTACCACCACTTCCATCAGTAATATCTCTATCGCCACCACGGTAGCGTCTTCAGCCATTGTCCCTCCTCCAGTCATTGGAGATGGAGCGGAAGTTCCATCATCCCCAGATAGACCTACTTTTACTGGACATGCTACGGACTCCCCAAACCTCTTAGGAGGGGCTAGAATTGTGAATAACGGCCAAGCAAATAGCTATACTCTAGCTAGTATTAATGGACCACGAGCCCCGATCCCGTCAAACGTTGTATCAAATACATTACAGCAACCAACAGACAGCATTAGTCCGGTGGCCGAGTCACCTTGTGCATCCTCGAATAGATAGTTTTCTGGTCTTTACGTTTTGCTCAGAAGGGCATCGCTCTTTGCCAAGCATTCATAGTGCCTACATCCCTTTAGTGTTATACTAATAGACATAGGTCACTTAATGCATATAGATGTTCGGATGTTTGTTTTGACATATGAAGTGGCTACGCCGGTTTCATGTCTGAATTATGTCTGCGCTTTT